GAGTCTGCAGATGCAGACGCGCTGAGAAGGGATCCCGGCTTCTACGATACCGAGCAGGAGGAGATTCTGTTGCTAGGAGATGCTGTTGCTATTTACTACTTGTTTGTACTTGCTTGAACTTTGTACGCTTGCCCTGTCGCAAACAGGTCGGAGAACGGTGTCACTCGTGCTTTTTCGGGTGCACAAAATGCAGACTGCCTTCATGCTCTGCACATCCATCCTCCCTCTGCGTATCCATGTGCACTCATATAGGTTTATCGTTCATATTTTCCCATAATCTCAGCTTGCTTCACTGGAATGCTGGCTTTTTCGAGTATTCATTCGAAAATGGCCTGGAACCTCTGCGCTTACATAAAAGTTTTGATTGATTCCGAACACATGCTCCGAACACATGCCTTCCACAAGGAGTTTGGCTATAATGATATGATTCATAGATGACCCTCGGGAAGCATCTACAGGCAAGCGCACCATTAAACAGGTCAACGCCTGAGCTCACAAAACCCATGGCGCGCAGATCGTTACATATCCTGCGTGCCACCGATGCACTCAAATGCTGGCTTTTGACAATATTGAAACTGAAAGTCACCACTGATTCCCAACACCTTCCTTTCACGTCCTTTGTTTCAGCAGTTTTGCTAGATGAATCAGCTCATGCAACCTGACCTCGTTCGAGTATGGCACCTTTTTGATTACGTGAAACTCCTCCAAATGATATCATGGGATCCGGACAGTTTGATACATGATGCAGCTGTGCTAGAAACAATCACGAGACGACCGTGTCCCATGTGTGAGGTATCTTGGGATCGGGGATATATATCGCATGACATTCCTCCGTTTCCGAACGCCTTCCAATCATAACGGTTGATCATTTTGTGCTACGCAGCTGACCCGCAGGGAGCACTTCCAAAAGCATCTAGACACAACCAGTCACTAGCAGATGGTTGCGTGTTCTACGTAGCCTGTCGCTGGAATGCTGGCTTATGATTACATGAAACTTTCAAGGCCCAACACCGAAAAAACTAACATTGCATGAAAACATTTCAATGGATGACTCGAGTGACCCTGATCCCGTGGACCTTCTTGGAATCCGTCGCATGCGTGCGGTATCCCGCATGCGACCCATTTACCCTCGCCAGCACGCTGGCTTATTGGACCTTGCTGATTTTATGAATCCCCTCATTGATTCCGACCACTCTCCTCGTTCATCCGTAGCTCAACGAGTTTGCGCACATGATTCAGCTGACCCTATATGGGGAGACTTGGCCAATCGCGCAATGCAAACGTGCAAAAAACCGAACCTTTCTACCATGACGCATGTGGGTCGTTAGGCATCCTACGGCCTACGTCAACACCCAGTCACTCGAACGCTGGCTTATTGGAGCATATAGGGCCTCTCATACTTACAGGACAAAACCTCAGTGATTCCGAACACCTTACAAGCAAATCATTTGATCAAGAGATTTAGAATCATGACTCAGTTGACCCTCAGGAGCATCTCGAAACAAATCTACAGACCATGGCGCAATACAACCGTGGAAACCCTTGAGCCCATTCGACCACGCAGCTCTATTTCGAGCATGGGACATTGCTAATTTGATCAGATGAAATTCTACATTGATTCCGAACAATTACCGAAAACCTCATTTCATCAAGGTGTTTGGTACGCGACTGAAATGCAGAGAACACTTCCAAAACCATGCGCAGACAATCGCGCAATACAGACGATCTCAATATCTGAGCTCATTTGACGATGTCGTATCCAGATGCTACTCATCCACGAAATATGAACCAAGCATACTGCTCAACATCCAGGGACGAAAACGGGCCACAAGCCTATACGACCAACGGCAAAGAGACTCCTAGACATCCCTGGAGCAGCTGTCGCCAAGCTGGGACATGGCGTAAGATCGTATGGAGGTTTGGCGCTGGAAGAGCCCTAGATATATCAAAACACCTCCAAGCTCAAATGGAGAGGAGTCTACCTGTTGCCAAACAGCACGGGAATGTCTGCAGAAAGAAAGTGTGTGTGTGTGTGTGTCTGCAGACGTATATCATCCTCCAACAGCCTCAGCACCTCTACCATTGGAACCTGGCTACGGCATTCACAAACACCTGTGGAGGTACACAGAGGTGAAAAAGGAGGGATTTGCATGATTGCGGTAGCTTCGTTAGGCGCGGTCCCACAATCAGGTCGCACTCCCCTGTTCTCAAAGCACTACTAAACTGCGGAGCAGACCTATGAATCTAAGGTGTTTACAGTACAAACACCGATGGTATAATGATTTGTCGTTGTACAGAAACGCTTCTTGCTTTGCCTGTCTTGGCCGTCTCACCGACCTATGTACCTGCGCGGGACCGGAACGTGGAGACATAGACAGGGACACATCAATTAATTTCGTGGACTACAACATAAAAGACGTGGACTAGACTGCTTTTCCACAAAACCTTTCCTCTGTTTCATGGCTTGTTTCTGAGACGACATGCTCAATTCGGGAGTACAAGGTCCAACAAAATCCAATCTCTGCCCCACAGGCCATCCCTCCAAAAATCATGGACATAGAGCCATCTCTACAACAACTATGAATGCAATTCCATTTCACACCCCTGCCTGGACCCGTTCCTCATCCGTTTGGGAAACCGATCCTCTCCAAACGAATGGAGGACACGAAGGTCCCAGAAGATGGCGCACTGTCCATTTTCCAAGCCGAAACAGGCTAGCCATCTTGCGCACGCGTACGCGCACGATAGACTCGTGAAATAAAATTGCATGCGCCATCTTGACAGAGCTTTCACTTCCCCGGCAGGTCGCCCAAGCCATGCATCGAGCACTGATGCAGAGTGCCTGAGGAGACAAGCGCGTCGAAGCGAACAACACAACACACACCGTGCACACACACACACACACGCACACATACCAACAACTTCCTGCGGTCATTTTTTGGCCGAAGATCGCTTCCGCAAGAGACAAGCAAGCTAGCTAGCCTCAGGGATTGGTATATCTTCTTCTTACGCAGTAATGTCGGCGGACTATAGGTAGAGGGTAGGGGCTTCTGGTCCCCCGAAGGTGCCCAGTATCCACAAAATTGAGGGTCCAGAAACCACTTCTGTCCAAGTCCTGGTGGTTTCTTTCTAACCCCACCGGGGCCGGTGCGTGTATTTTTAGCCTCAGCCGCTCAACTTGCAGCATTTCACCGTTCTCAGGACAGCTACACTTGCTTCAGACCACTTGGCTCCAACTGGACTCTTCTCCCTGAGGGCGACTGAATAAGTCCTCTTTACTGTCTCCGCTCGTGTGGCAAAGCTTGGGCTTTACTTTTTTGAAACCTTGCTGAACGACAGGATGATATTCGATGGGCCAAAAGGAATCACTAAGGATAGACGTGTCAAGGATGGCAGCAAATGGATGTAAAGCTAAACATATGGCACCAAAGAAAGGAAAAGTATTTGTTGATGCCACACGCGCAGTATGGCCAATGCAGCCAAGCTTGCGGATGGGTGGTTTCCCAACCGAGCCAAAACCATCGTCCGATCCTTTATTCTGGCCTCGTGCCAGATAAAGCAGGACCATCCATGGGCCCTACGTACATACACCTCAGTCTGTATATCCACCGCTGTGTGTTTTGAGGTTGAAAGCTAGTTTCTGCACTTCAGGATTTTGATCAAGGCAGTTTGCAAGGCAGCATGAGGATGTTCGATTGGTTTTGGCTAGGGCAGTTTTAAAAATTGAAGGGTTCAAGGGTCTCCGAACGGGGAGGTTTTCAACGATGTGCACAGTTGTGCTTTTATGGAGTTCTATTTTGCTAGCGCAGGATCCAGCTTCGTTGTAATTATACTGTGTAGTTTGGTGGCATCATCGTTGGTTGGCCAAGCCGCTGGTGTTTAGTCTACAAGCCCAGACCGCTTGTTTCAGTGACGGCCAGCAGGCTATAGCTAGCGATGAGATGTACGCGACAAGGTGGTGCCGAGTCCAAAGTGACCTGGGTGTATCATGAACACGACCTCCGTTTCGAGTGGCAATTCGTCTTTAATAATCACCCCAATCATACTGCTTCACTATAAATCAATTTTGCTCGGATTGAGAAACCCCAAGTATTGTGGCCATTTGACCTCGCAGTCTAGCTCCCTACAGATCTTTCACGTTCGTGAATCTCAGGTTGGTATGCCAGCTGTTTCTACTACCTACACGGTTGCTTTGCACAGCCGATGGACCTAGGATTCAAGAGGATCAGCCGAGATTCCAAAATACCATTACCTTTCATATATATTTTTGGTTGGCTCCGAAGACGCGGAGCTTCAAAAACGAAGACGCGAACCTTCAGAGCTTCACCGAAAACCCGAAGCTCCGAAGGCGCGGAGCTTCAATAACGAAGACGCCGAGCTTCAGAGCTTCAACCGAGGACGCGAAGCTCCGAAGACGCGGAGCTTCAGAGCTTCAGCCGAAGACGCGGAGCTTCAGAGCTTCAAAGCTTCAAAAACGAAGACGCGGAGCTTCA